AGACGTCGTCTCGCAAAACGGATGACGAACTCATCCAGGAAAGATCTCAGATTTCGCGAAATAACGCGGCGTAATTCGACACAGGACGACAAGAGGGCTTTACTCACACAGGGAATACAGCGAAGGAGTTGTAAATGCGCGTCCAGAATCGTATTACGGCTTGTGCCAGGTTCGTCTGGTTCTTCACGAGAATACTTTGCGACGGGATTTTCAACGGGTCAACTTCGCAGTCGAGAATGCCGGCATTATTCGGACTGCCATTTGCGTTCTCGCCGCTCAGCAAAGCCCTGATCGGCTCTCGTAAAGTTTCCCTCAAATACCGTTCTCCAACCAGCTTCATGTATGCCTCCATGGCCTTCGTGGCCAACGAGTTTCCTCTGAACGTCAAGTGTTCGTCATCTACGACAAAAATGAAAATGCACAAGTCAAACAACATGCTTCTTTAGCTTCAACATATTGTCAAAGAACGCCACATTTGTGTGAATATCGGCCGCAAACGAGTTTCATCGGAAAATCTGAATGCAAAAAATATCCGCAAATAGACCACTGTTGACAGGAAGTGTCCCCATCACGGGACTTGAATAAAATTATTCTAGAAATGAACCAGTTTTTTTCAAGCTTTCAAATGGCTCACTAAAATGAACAGTCGACCAACACTCGCATAAATAATATACTGTAATTTGAAAGAGAAAATACGTACCGACACGCAGGATGTCCATCATAACAATGTCAGCGAGGAAATCTTGGGCTTTGCCAAGACGTTGCATGACAGAGACTAGACACGTGGCGATGTCCTCCTTCGACCGGATGTTGATAATCGGCTCCAGCATCCCACACAGACTGCCGTACGAGGAACTCATGTACTGTAACACAAAGAGACGATTTTCGTTTTCAAGAAATGCCCACGACTCTCGAGACTCCCAAATCGAACCTCTTCCAGTGGAATGTCAAGGGACCAGCCAAAAAATCGAGTTGCGGAGGTTTTTAATAGATTATTTCTAAGGAAATTCAGGACGAGGATTTGAAAAAATTGATACAGTAAATACAAATTCGATATAAGGAAGTTTGAGTTATCGAGGTTCAACCATATCTTCCTGTAATATGTTACGTAAAAAATAAAGTCATCTTCACATCACAGAAAAAAACCAGAGTCCGGCCATTTTAGATGATCGCATGCATCACCACCAAAATCAATTATTTAATTTAGCTACATAAATCAATTATCTGACTTAATTTATCAAACGCAGTAAATAACCGTGACTAAATCGCCTAACCCGATGCTAATGACCTCACCAATTCGAATGCAATCCAAATCAATTCAACAAAACCGTAAATGCGAAATCTATGTGATGAAAACGAAAATCATCGAGTTCGGGACTACTGTCAATGAAGCCTAAAAAATAAAAGGATTGCGGACCTGTAGGAATTCGTCGTAGACTTCGAGCGGGAGGATGTCGACGGACTGGAATCGACACTTGATCCTCAACGAGGGCGGATCTCGTCTTCTACTGCTCCTTGAAGCCGAAAGTCCGACTTGGTACATGGTGAAGAGTTACTCCATGGACCTACAGTGGCTCACTTGACCATACCAATGGCAAGGACTTTGGTTTCTAAGGTTAGGGCAGCACTGAACAAAACGAATCACGGTATGTTACTAAGACAAAATAAAATTCGCTCGACCAGTTTGTCGAGATACTGACCGACTAGCGAACTTTTGTCCTTCCGCTTCTTCTTCTCCCCTTCTCGGAAAAGACTGATGGAGATGGAGGCCACGTTTGGCAAATTGCTTTTGAGCTTAACGAGCGGGGTCTTTGTATTGAGCGAGAACCCGAACCTCCTGCACGCTCGTATGTTCCAAGACAGGTCCGAGTGGAGCGTCTTTATGGACCCTAAGTTTTAACTTTTAATTTAGAAAGAACACATTCATTTCAACAATAAATTAATTTCCTCTCGACTGCCATCAAATTGTCAGAATACTATGCCATTTAAATGGCTTTTCAGTTTTGAAAAAAAGGAAGTTATTTCACTTCTAGGGATTTCCTTCCTCTTAGAAATTGCTTAATATCGTAACGAATGATGCAAATTCAATCATTATTGAGATGGTTTATTTTATTTTATTTTTCATGCGATGAAAACAGCCGCAAATTGGGAATTCAATGGACTCGAATGATGTTAACGAAGGTTTCTTAATTTTTTTCAAATGAAACTATTGAACAATTCATTCATGAATAATCTCACGGCACTTTCGACGGATCAACGTTATTTAAATCGGAATCCTACAATAATTCCACAAACGATAATTCAAATAAAACCTTTAAATACTTAAAGAAAACAATACCTTTCCTTAAAATTTGTCTACGTATTTTGGTCGCGCAAGCTCTTTCAAGTTTTCAAAGAAAATTTTATTTTCCCCAAGCTTATATTTTCTTCAAGTACTGAGAGGAAATGTGTGACGACAAGATGGCGTCTGCATCCGGTTTTAAACCAAGGCGTGAAAGAATTAAGGCAAACTGACCTTTTCTTCGGGGCGATATTCTTTGCCTCCAGTACCCATATTTTCAGCGAGTTCTCTTTCCGCCGCATGTGTTCCTGCTCCGGTTGAATAGATCGCTTGATGCTGTAAATAAACGCAGAAATTTGATTTTTTTGAGTCTTCTTTTGCGATTCGAAACGAAGCGATGAAAGCAGTCGAATCGGTATTATTTTTTTTCCTTCCTTCGTCGATCAGTTGAAAGACTGTCCATAAAAAGGTGAAGTGCACATCAGATACGCCGATTTAAACATTTAACCGCGGAAAAAACGCACTCAGGCAGGCCGAAAAAAATATTTTGCAATTTATGAAACGACAAAACAGGCCCAAAATAATAAAGACCATTTCGCGTGGTTTCAGAGAGAAAAATCGAAAATGGGACAAGAATGATCTCAAAAAGTTATTGCCAGAAAAAATAATGTACTGTTAGCAAAACGATAAATCCATTCTTTTTCTTCACCGAAATTCGATGAAATACACCATGTTTTTTTTATCGCCGGTAGATGCCACTGCTGATCATGATCGCATTTCTATTCCACAACAACTCATGTCATCTGATTCTGAATTCCTTTTCTTTCTGCTTGGAGGGAATTATCTTTATATCAGCGTTGATTGCTTATAATTTGACTCGTTTGATTTGCACTTCAGTTTTCAAGACATTGAAAACGCACATAAAATGCGGGTTTTTCAACTGCGCCTCAAACGTCAAACGAAACCGTTATTTTTCAGCCGGATCTACGGTAATTCAGGTCATCTTTTGTCCAATCGGAAAATCGTACCGAAAATTATTTTTGCCCTTCTTTCTCCTCCACAAAGAAACGGTTGATGTAGGAAGAAAGAGTGTGACTCGTGTTCATGCTCACTCAAAATGATTTTCACAAAAAAAGAGCGTCATTGATGAGCTCATGACGCGGGGACGAAATAATGTTCCGAAACAAATGACGAGATCGCATGAGTGGCATTGAGAACAATATCACCGCCCATTTACCCAACCTTGGCCTGGGGATGGAACACTTTTATAGTGTCTATAATTCTCTAAGCAGGGTGGAAAAAAACGCGGGATTCGTGGCGTAGTGAGTGTGTGAGTGAACCCCGAAGGGGATTTTCTCGCGCGTGACGCGATCGGAAACTAAGGTCACGTTTCCCAACATCGAGGAATCAAGTCGAGGCTTCATTTCTTTT